GGGATGGTAGGTAGGGGGGGGGGGGAACGTGCAGATCTGTCCCCGCAGAGGAGGGAGAGCTCGTACCTGAATAAAACTTGGTCTTAAAGGTGCCACTGGACTGTTTTGGATTGCTAGCTATTGGGGGTGGGGACGTGCAGATCTGCTCCCACAGAGGAGGGAGAGCTTTTACCTGAAGGCGAGCCGGGGGGGGGGGCTCTGCAACTTACCTGGCTGCTTCTTGTGGCCAGACTGAGGACTGCTGGGAGCAGGGGGTGGGGCTTGTTGCATGTGCCCGCCCCCTGGGCTCCTTACCTCCGGAGCTCCGCTCCTGTGCGCTCCTGCAGGAAATGACCCCTGCACTTGTCTATATAAAAAACTAGACTCTCCAAGCGAGAATACCCATGGGACATCTACACAGACTCCCTCCAACTCACCCGTTGCACTATCCCTGCACTCCTGGTGTCCGAATGTGAAATGTGAGCTTTCCTGGCAATGTCCTAGTTGCTTCCAATTAGTTCTTAAATGGTGGGACTCTGGATCCAGTTGGCTTCCCTTAGGAATATTCTCCCCTCCCTAAAACCTGCAAATTCTATTTCACTTGCCAGTTTTGTCCACCCACTAGGAACATACGTTCTTCACTCCATCGCAGAACATGCGGCTCAGTGGGGATACAGTCGGCAACTTCCAAACCGGTCCCTGCAGCTGGCCCTCTGTTTATCTATTTTATTTATATCCCTCCTTTCTCTTCAGTGGGGACACCAAAGCGGCTTACGCTGTTCTTCTCTCCTCTGTTTTATCCAGAGGTCATTTTGGGGGGGATCGCGGGGGATCGCAGTTCCCCCGGGTGAGGTACGGGGGGCGGGGCACATGACGAAGCCCCGCCCCCTGCTTCCGGCCGCCCCGCTTCCGGCCCTCATTCAGCCAGGAGGAGGCAGGAGAAGAGGGAGGGTAAGTTGCTTCCTCCCTGCATCTCCCCACCCCTGCCTGCCTGGGGCCAGGGAGGGCCTTTGCGGGGCTTCCTTGCACTCCTGCCGGCCTTGCAGCTCCACCGCCGGGCCCCTCATGGGCCAGGACCGTTGGGGGAGGGGTGTGTGGCCTTATGACACACTTCCGGTGATGTCAGGGGGTGTGGCATATGCTAATGAGTTATGCTAATGAGTCCCCCTAGCTCTTTTTCTACGAAACGACCCCTGGTTTTATCTTCACAACAGCCCTGTGAAGTAGGTTAGGCTGAGAGGATGCAGCTGACCCAAGGTCACCCAGCAAGCTTCCACAGTGGAGTGGGGATTTGAACGCGAGGCTCTCAGCTCCCAGCCTAATGCTCTAACCATAGAATCACAGAATCACATAGTTGGAAGGGGCCATAGAGGCCATCTAGTCCAGCCCCCTGCTCAATGCAGGACCAGCTGAGAGCATCCCTGACAGGTTTTTGTCCAGCTGCTGCTTAAAGACTGCCAGGGAGGGGGAGCTCGCCACCTCCCCGGGCAGCTGATTCCACTGCTGAAAAACTCTGACTGTCAAAAAGTTTTCCCGCCCTTCATTTAAACCCATCATTGCGAGTCCTCTCCTCTGCTGCCAACGGGAACAGCTCCCTGCCCTCCTCCTCCAAGTGACAGCCCTTCAAATACTTCAAGAGAGCAATCACATCCCCCCCTCCACCTCCTCCGGACTAAACATCCCCAAGTCCCTCAGCCTTTCCTCACAGGGCTTGGTCTCCAGGCCCCCGATCATCCTCATTGCTCTCCTCTGCACCCGCTCCATCCTGTCCACATCCTTTTTTGAAGTGAGGCCTCCAGAACTGCACACAGTCCTCCAGGTGCGGCCCGACCAATGCAGTTAACAGCGGGGCGATGACATCTTGTGATTTGGATGTTATGTCTCTGTTAATACACCCCGAGATCGCATTAGCCTTTTTTGTCACTGCATCACACTGGCTGCTCATGCTCAAATTAGAGTCCACCCATTCCCCAACATCTCCTTCACACACACGCTGCTACCCGGAAGTGTATCCTCCATCCAGTATGCATGTTCCTCATTGTTGTTACCCAGATGTAGAGCTCGGCACTTATCCTTGTTAAACTGCACCATGTTCACATCCGCCCACTTTTCCAGCATGTTCCGATCTCATTGGATTCTATCTCTACCTTCTAGCGTGTTCGCTGCCCTTTCCAATTTGGTGTCATCTGCAGGTTTAATGAGTAGCCCCTCCACACACCCCATCCAGATCATTTATAAAACTATTGAAAAGTACCGGGCCCAGAACCGAGCCTTGTGGCTCTGCTAAACCACAATGACTCTGAGAGCCAGTTTGGTGTAGTGGTTAGGAGCACGGACTCTAATCTGGGAGAACCGGGTTTGATTCCCCACTCCTCCACTTGCACCTGGCTGGATGACCGTAGTTCTGACAAGAGCTGTCCTTGAAAAAGAGCAGTTTCTGTCAAGAGCTCTCTCAGCCCCACCTATCTCACAGGGTATCTGTTGTGGGGAGGGGAAGGGAAAGGAGTTTGTAAGCCGCTGTGAGACACCTTTGGGTTGTGAAGGGAAGGGTATAAATGCAATCTCCTCCTCCTCCTCCTCCTCCTCTTCTTCTTCTACAGTGGCAGTTCCGTACGAACACGCAAGCTGAGCTCTGTGCACGGGAAAACATTTCACCGATGGCTTCCTGCGTCTTAAAAGCACAGGCCGGGTAATTTCAGTTTTGTCCAGCCGGCAATGCTAACTTCGGTGGCCCTTCAGTTGCTCCGCACCCAGAAGCATATTTACCTGCATGATGACCTGTATCGGCTGCCTCTCTCCGCTTTTGGTGTGAGGCACTCCTTCGGTATCATAGATGCCGCTGTAAACCACCATCTGGGCGTCTCGCGACTTCTCTTCCAGGGGCACCGTCACCGACCCAATTACCATGGTCCTGAAACAGACAAGCTGGGTGTTTTTCAGCCGTTCTGAGCCATCCAAATGGCAAAAAGCAGTTGGACAATGGAACGAATATCCCATCTGTCAGGGATGCTCTGGGGTGCATTTGCTGCCCTGAGCTGGGGTGGGTAGGTGCTCAACTATATGGCCTAGACCAGGAATCCCCAATGTGGTGCCTGGGAGCACCCACAGACACCTTTCTTGGTGGTTGTCAAATTTTTTCTTGAAAGTAGGTGGGGCTTTTGCACAGCAGGGCTCCTGATTGGCCACTGGAGATTTGATTGGCGGTGCAGATTTTTTTAAAAAGGCTGCTCCGGCGGCAGCTGCTACCACCACAGCACAAGGGTCTTCACTGTGTCACTGAAGGTGAGCGGTGGCAGCCATTTTGTGGCTGGCTCCACCTCCTGCGGCAGTCATTTTGTGACTGCACCCAATGCACTGAGTTCCTGAGGAGCCAGCAGGCTCAAAAAGGTTGGGGACTCCTGGCCGATAAGTCTCCTTTCACCATTTGTCTTTCTTACCAAGGAGAGACATTCAAAGCAAGCTTCTACAGCAGGCAGTGGCGGGCCTATATTTTTGGGACCTTGAACTGCTATGGGGGCCCCTTCTCAACCAGCAACAACAGGACAACATCCAACAAGGTCCAAAGGACCTCGCTGCCCTTGCAATAGGGCTGCCAAGTCCCCCAGGGGAGCAGGGGTCTGCCCACTCTAGAGGTCCCCAGCCCGCCAGCCCGGATCCAGTCGCCGGGGAGAACCCCGCCCCTAAAGTGCCAGAATCGGACTGATGTGCGCAGCACGATGACGTCACACGGAGGTGACGTCACACGGAGGTGACATCATCACGCCGGGCACATTGTCGGGGGACGCTCTAGCATATGGCATTAAAACTCTATGGTACCATAGAGTTTTAAAGCCAAATGCTAGAGTGTCCCTTGACAGTGTGCCCGGTGCAATGACGTCACTTCCGGGTGACGTCATCACAGTGTGCATGTGCGAAGCTCCCGGACACGGAGCTTCCAATCCCCGCTGGATGCCAGGTAGAAGAAGAAGAAGAAGAAGAAGAAGAGATTGGATTTATACCCCCCCCTTCACTACCCAGAGGAGTCTCAGAGCGGCTTACAAACTCCTTTCCCTTCCCCTCTCCACAACAGACACCCTGTGAGGGAGGTGGGGCTGAGAGAACTCTGACACAAACTGCTCTTTTTCAAGAACAGCTCTGACAGAACCACGGCTTGCCCAAGGTCATCCAGCAGGTGCAGGTGGAGGAATGGGGAATCGAACCCGGTTCTCCCAGATTAGAGTCCACGAACATAACCACTACACCAAACCGGCTCTCTAGAGACCTGGCAAACATACCTTGCAAGGACCTCGAGGCCCAAATGGTGGAGAACGGGGCTGCGTACCAATGATGGATTCGACGATCCAGCTGCCCAAATGCCGGCTATGAATAGATTCTGGTGAGCTCAGCGAGCCCACACAAGCTTGGTGTTTGGGTACTACAAGCGCCCGAGGAAATTCTGAAATCTGACCAATTGCGGGGGCATTCCGAGGCCGTATGAAACAGGTATTAGAGCATGTTCTAAGGTCGATAGTAAGCACTTCAACCCACTGGCTTATCATTTTGTCACTAAAAGAGCCTTATTTTAAGAACGAACACTCGAAAACGAACTCCGTCAATTTTGTTGGAATATTCGCTGATTTTTTAAAAAGTTGCTTCCAGGCCCCTCCAGGATTAGGGGCCCGGAAGCTTAAACTTTGTTAGTTTAGTAGCAGATCCGCCCCTGACGGCCAGGGGTCCTTCAACTTTTCCAGCCTGCAGGCACCTTTGGAATTCTGATGCGGCATGGTGGGCACAGCCACAAAATGGCTGCTGCGGAAGGCGGAGCCAGCAACAAAATGGCCGCCCAGGTTTACCTTCGGTCGCTCAGTGAAGACCCTTGTGCTGCAGTGGCAGTTGCTCTGACAGCACTATTTTTAAAAATCCGCACAGCCAATCAAATCTCCAAAGGCCACTCGAAAGCCTTGCCAGGCGAAAGCCCCATCTAGTTTCTACAAATTGTCGGCAGTCACCACAACGTCCAGGGGACCCCTCCCTCCTCTACCGAGACGGTAAGGCAAAATTCGCAAATGCCACTCGAACTGCTTCGCAGCCCTTCTTTGGCACTTGGCGGGTCCATTTTAGGAAAGGAGAACGCACTGCCTTTACTGCTGCCTCTCGGGTTTCAGAACTGGCCCCTGCACGAAGGGTTAAGAGGGACCCCAAAAACCAATCTGCCGGCAGCTTCACCTTCACGTGGGATCTCATTCGAAACAGGACTCCTCGGTCTGCGTGGAGATACGTGACTGGGAAGAAAGGATCCCAGGTTTGCCCTCTCCTATGCGGGCCCCTAGCTATGGTGGGGCGTTTCGGGGCTCCGCCCCCTCAAATTGGAGGCACGCCCCTTGAATGGGAGGCACGCCCCCTCAGATGGGAGGCATGCCCCACAACAGTTGCTGCCCCTCTCCCCCTCCTGTGACATTAAAAGGGCCCTCCAACTGATCAGCGGGACCACGTGCCCCGCCGATTGGCTAGAGGGCCCTTTAAATCTTGTCGCCACCCCTCTCCTTCCCCTCCTCCAAGACTTAAAGGGCCCTCCAGCTGATCAGCAGGCCCTTTAAATCTTGCAGGAGGGGGCGGCTGCCAGCCGCAACGCCTTCCTTGAACTCCAAGCGGGGGACCCTTTAAACGCTGCTTTTCTAGCGGGGGTTGCCGGCACCTAATCTCCAAGCGGCGGAATCAGGGAAGGTATGCGGCCCCTGATGTTCCCTCTAAGCTGAGTTAGTGCGAGCCAGCTCACAGTTTTTTAGCCTCCGGCTCACACATTTTTGTCGTAGCTCAGGAAGGATGGGGCTCCGGAGCAAACTAATCCATGCAGTACCCAAATCGCTTGCTCACAACTTTAATGCCAGGAGCTCACAAAGTAGAATTTTTGCTCACAAGACTCCACAGCTTAGAGGGAGCATTGGTGGCCACCCCCTCCCTCCCTCCTCCCCCACTGCCCCACAAAATTTCCCCATGCCCCACCAAGCCAAGATTTCTGGCTACAGGGCTGCTCCTACGCCATTTCCTCTTCCCGTCGGAGCTAATGCCACGCAGGTCATTGGTCTCTCCCTCCCACTGCAGTACTTGCAAAGGGAGGGGCCATGACTCAGCCAAAAAGCATCCGCTTGGCATGCAGAAGGGCCCAGGTTCGATTCCCCTGGCATCTCCAGCTAAAAGGATCAGGCGGCAGGTGATGTGAAAAACCTTCGCCTGAGACCCCGGAGAGCCGCTGCCAGTCCGAGTTGACAATACTGGTCTCAGCAGCCCAACAACCGGACTGAGTACGAGTCAGCTTTGTATATTTGTTCGAGGGAGAGGAACGTCTTCGATTCGGTCACTCTATGGTCCTTTCCGCACTCTATGGTCCTTTCTCATCCCTGGTTTTATCAGAGTTCAACTCCCGACATAAGACCTTGCATCTATCCCTGGTTATATCAGGATCCGTTTATCCCGGTGTAACAGGCCAGATTAACCCCCCGGCCATAGTGACCCCGGGGTTACTCTGGCCTAGCCTAGAATAACCCCGGGGTTACTCTGGCCGAGGGGAGGTGAATCTGGCCTGTTACAGCCGGCCAGATTAACCCAGGGTTACTCTAGGCTAGGCCAGAATAACCCCTCCGGGGTTATTCTAGGCTAGGCCAGAGTAACCCCGGGGTTACTATGGCCGGGGGGGGTTAATCCGGCCTGTTACACCGGGACAAGTGTGGGGCAAAACCGGGGTGAACTCAGTGTAATGTGGAAACAAAAAATAACCTGAGATAAATACAGGGGTGAATTCGAGTGTAGTGTAGAATGTGAGTTCGGGGACAGGGTTGAACCAGGATTTAAGGTCTAGCCTACGGCCATACCACCCTGAATACGCCCGATCTCGTCTGATCTCGGATTTAAGGTCTAGTGTTGAAAGGACGTAAATTTAGGAAGTAAACCAGAACAAGATCAGGGTGTTCTACTGCTGTTCCTTCCACCCCACTCCTCGAAGAAGAAATTGTACTGCCAAATCATTTTTCGTTGACATCAAATCCAGCTTTATAGGCCAGCCAGAAATATGCTTTTGGTGTTTGGGTTTTTTTTGGTATGGTCATACCTTAAAGCCTTAACACATTTTATTCCAGTATGAGTATTTCACAGACTAGGCCACACCGCGCGAAGGCAGCGCACGGAATGGACGGCTCTGGTCCGGTGTTCCCTCTAAGCTGAGTTAGTGTGAGCTAGATCACAGCTTTCTAGCCTCCAGCTCACACATTTTTGTCTTCGCTCGGGAAACGTGGCTCCAGAGCAAACTTATGCAGCAGCCAAACGGCTCGCTCACAGCTTTACTGCCAATAGCTCACAAAGAAGAATCTTTGATCACAAGACTCCACAGCTTAGAGGGAGCCTTGCTCTGGTCCACAAGAGCTATTGCGGGAATAAAAATTGTGTTCCTCTCTGAGATGGCCAAAAAAAAAAATCCTGGGGGTTTTTTTGTTTGTTTTTTTGCTGCAATCGACTCATGCCCTTGTGGAATTCCAGAGACCTGCGTTTCAATCCTGCAGCCAATTCTTTTACCCTTTGTGTGTGTGTGTGGGGAAGCTATCATGCAAGAAAAAGCTAGCCTTTATTTTTAGGGGACCATCGATGAAATCTTGGGGGGGGGGAGATTCAGCAGCGTTATACCCAAAGGAAATGTCCCAGCTTCGGTTCAAACGGCACAGAGCGAAGTGTTTCAAAATGACACTCCCCCAACCACCCCCCCAGCCCTTTCAAACAGGAACACATTATGGTCACTTGGAACGGAGACAGACAATTGCATAACTAACAGCTCTCCCCTGCAGCCCGAGTTGTCGAGCATCCTATGCATGACTACTCAGAAGTAAGTCCCACTATTTCAAATGGAGCTTGCTCCCAGGCAAGCATGCAGAGGGCTGCAGGGCCTAAACCGATGTTCCCTCTCAGCTGCGTTAGTGTGAGCCAGCTCACAGTTTTTTAGCCTCCGGCTCACACATTTTTGCCTTCGCTCAGGAAGGGATGGGTCCAGCACAAACTGATTTATGCAGCACTCACAACTTTAATGCTGGTAGAATTTTTGCTCACAGGGCTCCATACCTTAGAGGGAGTATTGGCCTAAACCTCAGGGCAGCATTCCAGAAGCATTTTGGACTGCAGAGAAATCTACGGAATGCTCTCCCGGCTCTCCCGGCCTTCCTGCCCAAGTCCCTCCTCTCTGGCCACCAAGCCTTTACTTTAGAGTAAACCCGGGAAGTGAGTGCAGAGGTCTTCATGGGAGTGGACTGTGGGTGCCAGCCTCCAGGTGGGACCCGGAGACCCCCCCTGGAATAACAGCTCTTCTCCAGGGTACAACGGTCAGCTCCCCTGGGAAAAATGGGAGGCTCTGGAGAATGGATTCTACGGCATCCTACCCCACTGAGGTCCCGGTCCTACCCAGGCTCCATCCCCAAATCTCCAGGAAACTCCCAACCTGGAGCTGGCAACCTTAGGTGGCCACCCATGCTCCCTCTAAGCCGTGGAGTCTTGTGAGCAGAAATTCTCCTTTTGTGAGCTCCTGGCATTAAAGTGGTGAGCGAGCGATTTGGCTGCTGCATGGATTAGTCTGCTCTGGAGCCACCCGTCCCGAGCAAAGACAGAAACGCGTGAGCCGGAGGCTAAGGAACGGTCAGCTAGCTCACACTAACTCAGCTTAGAGGGAACAAGGGTGGTCACCAGTGTTCCCTCTGAGCTGAGTTAGTGTGAGCCAGCTCACAGTTTTTTAGCCTCCGGCTCACACATTTTTGTCTCCGCTCGGGAAGGAGGGCTCCAGAGCAGACTAATCCATGCAGCAGCCAAATCGCTCGCTCACCACTTTAATGCCAGGAGCTCACAAAGTAGAATATTTGCTCACAAGACTCCACAGCTTAGAGGGAACGTTGGTGGCCACTGGCCAGGGGAGACCCGGCCAAGACTAGCAGCAGAGGGATCTGCACAAAAGCTCTCTCTCCATTCTTCCGCAAAAAAGCCTGCAAAGGGGAAGCCCTCGACAGGGCGTCAGCCTTTCCCCCGGGGACGCGTGTCTAGGGGCCCCGGAGACGCGCGTCGTGTGAACGCGGGAGGTTAAAGAGACGCCCGGGGAACAGGGCGAGGAATAAAATGGAAGCGCCGGGCTGTCAGCTCGCCAGGCCCGCAATCTCGGCCGCCTGCAGACGGGAAGCGCAAAGGGAAGGGGAAAGGGGAGCGCAGGGAAGGGCGAGGGGGGCGCAAAGGCTCCTTACGTGGCCTGGACGCCGCCGGGCTTGGCGACCACCTCGACCTTGTACTTGGCGCCGGTGAGCAGCTTGATGGTCCGGTTCTGCCCGAAGCGCTGCCCGTCCACCTTGAAGAAGACGGGCCCGTCGTTGGGCTGGATCTTGAGCGAGACGCTCAGGCGCACCAGCGTGGGGATGGCCGGCTCCGACATGGCGAGGAGGAGGAGGAGGAGGAGGGCGGCGGGCGCTCAGACGCCGGCCCCCGGCCGCGGGGAGGAGGAGGAGGACGGCCGCGACGGCCCCGATCCGGCGGGCGGGGAAGGAGAGGGAAGCGGGCCGGCCATTGGCCGCTTGGCGCCGCCGCTCTGCTTTGCTCCGCTCCGCTCGCCGCGCTAATCCCGGGCGCGGATTACGGGCGCGCCGCCTGCGAGGGAGGAGAGGGGCCGCGGCGGGGGCGGGCGGGAGGCGCGGCCAGCGTTAGCCCCCCCCTCGCAATATAGGCAGGATTTTAGAGGGGGGGAGGCGGTGGACTGGCTACGGGGGGAATGATGCTGCCAATCAGCGCTCCGCCACTGGATGGACGCGGATTGCCCACGGGGGTGGGGAGGGTCTGGGACGAAAAGAGGGCTGGGAGGGTTTACTGGGGTTGCCGGCTCCAGGTTGGGGTGAGGAAGGCGGGGTTTGGGGAGGGGAGGGGCTTCCGGGGGGTCTAACGCCATAGGGAGCAACCCCCAAAGCTGCCCCTTTCTCCTGGGGAGCAAAGGTTGCCAGCTCCAGGTTGGGAAACACCTGGAGATTTGGGGGTGGAGCCTGAGGAGGGCGGGGTTTGGGGAGGGGAGGGGCTTCCGTGGGGTCTGAAGCCATACAGTCCACTTTCCGAAGTGGCCATTTTCTCCTGGGGAGCTTGGGTTGCCAGCTCCAGGTTGGGAAACACCTGGAGATATGGGGGTGGAGCCTGAGGAGGGCAGGGTTTGGGAGGGGAGGGGCTTCAGTGGGGTCTAAAGCCATAGCGTCCACCCTCCAAAGCCGCCAGTTCAGGGGAACTGATCTCTTGTCGTCTGGAGATCAGTTGTCATAGCGGGAGATCTCCAGCTGCCCCTTGAAGTTGGCGACTCACTCTTGCTTTCTTCACAAAGGCGCCAGCCAGAGCAGGGCTGCCGATCTCCTGGAATCGCAATTGATCTCCAAATGACATATATTATGCATTTATTCATTCATTCCAGTTCCCCCAGAGAACACAGCGCTTCGGAAGATGGACTTTGGGACATTCCACCCTGCTGAAGCCCCTCCCCTTTCCAAATCCCGCCCTCTGCAGACTCCACCCCCTAAATCTCCAGGAATTTCCCAACCTGGAGCTGAGTCCATCTTCTGAGTTGTGAGTCCATCTTGAGTTGTGGTTTCTGGTTCCTAATGAGTCACGGGGTGGGGGGCAGGAGTTGTGGATCTTCCTCTTCTGAGATTTTTCCAGGAAAGGTTGGGTAGGCATTCCTCCAGAAACTCTCGGAGCAGTTTCTTTTCTGTTTTCATGCCGGGTGACCAACGGCTTCCCTAATGGCCTTGTGATTTATTGCCAGTCACAATCAGAAGCATGGGACACTCTGGCAGAACCCCCTTCCCCCAAACCCTGTTATTTTCATTTTACTGGACCTTGATAACCCTCACTTCTGATTTCTTTAATCAGCTCAGAGCTTGCTGAAGTAGGAAGAGGGAGAGATTGGATTTATACCCTGCCCTTCATTACCCAAAGGAGTCTCAGAGCGGCCTACAAAGTCCTTCCCCTTCCCCTCCCCATAACAGACACACTGTGAGGTGGGTGGGGCTGAGAGAGCTCTGACAGAAACTGCTCTTTCAAGGACAGCTCTTGTCAGAACTATGGCTTGCCCAAGGTCATCCAGCCAGGTGGAAGAGGAGGAGTGGGGAATCAAACCTGGTTCTCCCAGATTCGAGTCCACACGATTAACCACTACACCAAACTGGCTCTCCAGTAAAGGTTATACCTCATTCACTCAAAGGGAAGATGACTCTGAATAGAAGAGGAACCCCTTAAAACTGTTATACACAAAATAATAATTATTGGACGTGACTGTAGCTTACATGTGAATATAAGACCACCAACTCTTTTTTTGTGTGTGTGACAGACCTGTGAAAAAAATCTAGTCTTGCATTTCAGTAAATACCATATTTAGAGGACTGGTGGTATTTTTGTAAACCCATATCTCTATTTTTCTAACCTTTCCGTCTCTGCTCGGCATGAAATGATAGCTGCAAACATCTATATTAACAACACTCCACTGTGGTGTAGTGGCTTGAGTGTCAGACTAGTATCTGGGAGTACCGGGTTTGAATCCCCACTTGTGCCGTGGAAGCTTGCTGGGTGACCTTGGCCCAGTCACACACTCTCAGCCTCACCTACCTCACAGGGTTGTCGTGAGAATAAAATGGAGGAGAGAATGATTGTAAGCTGCTTTGCGTCACTGCTGGGGGGGGAGAAGACGGGATACAAAACAACGTAAATAAAATCATTCATTAATTGATTTATTAAATTAATGATTTATCAATAATTAATATCAATAACAAGCCAATATCAATAGATTAATAGTTAAGCAAATAATTAGCGATAACAACTTAATAATTAATTATAAATGGATAATTAATTAAATATCTAGCGATGATAATCGATTATTATGATTAATTAAAATTAGTAAAGAGTAAATAAAATAAAAAATATCCACCGTTTCAAGAGACCTTGCATTGCCTATTGATCTAGTGCAAACTTTGCATGCCGAAGGGAAAAAAGATGAATTTGTATGTGTGTGTGTGTGTGTGGGGGAGAATGAGAAAAAGATATTTCAGAAGTGGAGTGTTATGTCGCTATTGAATAGTTTATTCCCGGTTTTACCCAAGACACCAACTATTGCATGAACACACCAACGACTCTGTCAAGAGCCAGTTTGGCGTAGTGGTTAAGAGCACAGACTCTAATCTGGGAGAACCGGGTCTGATTCCCCACTCCTCCACATGCAGCTGCAGCGGTGACTTTGGGTTACTCCCAAGTTCTCTCGGAGCTGCTCTGGAAAGAGCAGTTTCTCTCGGAGCTCTCTCAGCCCCGCCTACCTCACAGGGTGTTTGCTGTGGGGAGGGGAAGGGAAAGGAGATTGTAAGCCGCTCTGAGATTCTGAGTAGAGAGCGGGGTATAAATCCAATCACTTCTTCTCTCTTCTTCTTCATTTAGGTTTGTATTTCTCTCTCTTCTTGTCATTGTTGGCTCACATTGTTGATTAAAACAAGAGCAGTCTCGGTGATCCAATCCACACTGCTCTGCTGGGCAGGTGGAATGAGGGAACACATCATACTTGTATGGGGTTCCTTCTAAGCGTTCTGTTCTCACCTTGAAAGCCTCTTGCCTTGAAGGCGTGGCAGAACCTGCCTTGCCCTCACCCACTGCTCTCTCCGATCATCTGGGCAAACGGCTGGATCTCTTCGGAGTGAAACAAGGAGGATATTTGTAATGGGCCATCCAGAGAACACACACCGTTTGCGTAACTGCAGATGAGAAAGGGGTGATCGAGCTGTTCCATATTAACCCGACAAACAGGATCCTCGTCTTTGGATCGGCCTCAGCTAACAAAAGAAAGTTAATAATTGGTAAAATAATTCAGAGAGCCAAAGGCACAGGGATCGTGAAGGCGAAACGCCTGTGTGCTGTTGTCTCCAGATTCATGTCTCTGACATATTTATTTATATATATATTTTAAAATTTTCCTTTGTTTATAACAGGCCTTTGTCCCCAATGGAACTCAAAGCAGTTTACGCTATTCTCTTCTACTCTGTTTAATCCTCACAACAACGCTGTGACGTAGGTTAGGCTGAGAGTGTACGACTGGGCCAAAGTCATCCAGCAAGTTTCCATATCAGAGAGGGGATTCAAACCTGGGCCTCCCAGATACTAGTCCAACACTCTAACCTCTTCACCACACTGGCTCTCAGAATTTATAATTTGCTACACTGTGCTGGCTAGGCATAGTTCATAAGAATGTAGAAGAGAGAGAGAGAGAGAGAGAGAGAGAGAGAGAGAGAGAGAGAGAGGAGATTGGATTTATACCCCGCCCTTCACTCGGAGTCTCAGAGCGGCTTACAAACTCCTTTCCCTTCCCCTCCCCACAACAGACACCCTGTGAGGTGGGTGGGGCTGAGAGAGCTCTGACAGAAACTGCTCTTTTTCAAGAACAGCTCTGACAGAACTATGGCTTGCCCAAGGTCATCCAGCAGCTGCGAGTGGAGGAGTGGGGGAATCAAACCCGGTTCTCCCAGATTAGAGTCCGCGCACTTAACCACCACACCAAACTGGCTCTCTGTCGTTTGTGTGCAAACTGTAGAAAGCAGACTGCCGAGCTCGAAAATGATGGCCTTCCCCCCAGGATCGTAATATTTAACCAAGCTTTCAGCGTGCCCTAGCTGGAGTTAATCATTGCCATGGATTGGGACGTTGGGGTTGTCTGTAGGACTGGGAGTTGTTTCAGCACCATCCCTCTGGACAGCGACCAAGGAAGGTGTTGGTTTGAAATTGCTCTGAGGAACAGCCTTCTGAAAGCACTGATCCTGGCAGTAATCTTTAACTACGGCAGACACCGTTCATCTCCCTTCACCAACCATTCTTCAACTGAAGGTCAGTTCAGACCAAGTGTTTGTCTAACATGTGAAGGAATCCCATAGGAAACAACCGGTTCCTCTGGAGGGGCAACAACTGGGCATAGAGGCCAAGGCCTTCATAAGAACCTCAGAAGAGCCCTGCTGGATCAGACACGTGGCCCATCTAGTCCAGCCTTCTGTCTCACACAGTGGCCAGACAGTTCCCTCAGGAGGGCCAGCAACAGGGCAGAGAGGCCGAGGCCTTCCCCTGATGTTGCCTCCTGGTTCTGGGATTCAGAGGTTTTTAAGAACATCAGAAGAGTTCTGCTTGATCAGACCAGTGGTCCATCTAGTCCAGCATCCTGTCTCACACTGTGGCCAACCAGTTCCTCTGGAGGGCCAACAACAGGGCAGAGAGGCTAAGGCCTTCCCCTGATAGGAACCTCAGAAGAGTCCTGCTGGATCAGACCAGTGGTCCATCTAGTCCAGCATCCTGTCTCTTACACAGTGGCCAACCAGTTCTTCTGGAGGGCCAACAACAGGGCATAGAGGCCGAGGCCTTCCTTTGATAAGAATATCAGAAGAGCCCTGCTGGATCAGACCAGTGGTCCATCTAGTCCAGCATCCCGTCTCACACAGTGGCCAACCAGTTCCTCTGGAGGGCCAGCAACAGGGCAGAGAGGCCGAGGCCTTCATAAGAACCTCAGAAGAGCCCTGCTGGATCAGACCAGTGGTCCATCTAGTCCAGCATCCTGTCACACACAGTGGCCAAC